GGCCCCACCTGGAGGTTATAGAATCCAGAGAGATCCACGGGAACAAGGTATAATAAAAAAACAAATAAACACAAGAACAGCGAAATAATAACTATGGAAAGTCCAATACTTCAACATCCCCTTGTTATAGTGCGTATGTCTCTACAACAGTACCTGTCTTGATTGCAATAAACGATTCATGATCGCTCTCAACAGTCCATTCTAATGCCGGATGGAAGTGTCTGTAACTCATACCTAGATCCTTTGGATATGATAATGAATTGCATCGTTGTAGAAGAAGAAGAGGAGAAGATTGGATTTAGACCCCGCCCTTCACTACCCAGAGGAGTCTCAGAGCGGCTTACAAACTCCTTTCCCTTCCCCTCCCCACAACAGACGCCCTGTGAGGTAGGTGGGGCTGAGAGAGCTCTTGACAGAAACTGCCCTTTTTCAAGGACAGCTCTTATCAGAACTACGGCTTGCCCAAGGTCATCCAGCAGCTGCATGTGGAGGAGTGGGGAATCAAACACGGTTCTCTGAGATTAAGAAGAGAAGAAGAAGAGGAGATTGGATTTTTGCCCCGCCCTTCTCTACCCAAAGGTGTCTCAGAGCGGCTTACAAACTCCTTTCCCTTCCCCTCCCCACCACAGACAATTTGTGAGGCAGGTGGGGCTGAGAGAGCTCTGACAGAAATGGCTCTTTTTCAAGGACAGCTCTTATCAGAACTATGGCTTGCCCAAGGCACCACTTGCCCAAGGCCATCCAGCCAGGTGCAAGTGGAAGAGTGGAGGAGTGGGGAATCACTCCACTTGTAACTGTACTTGAACTCACAGCAAGTTTGTATGAATGATTACACACTACTGCTGATGCATATTGGCTTTTTGGTTGTATGCTTGACTTATCTTTCAATAAAAAGTCTTTTTAAAAAATGACTACTATCAATCTTAAGAACAAAAACAAAAACAAATAATAATTTCAACCCATCGGTTCTGGTCCGATGGTGCGGTTCCTGTGGCAAAGTCCAGTGACCGTGTTGTCAGAGTGGATACGGGGACACGTTCAGAAACCCGGTTCACTGCCGGCCCTCGGTCCCAGAGTCCACGTCCGTGTTGGGAAGGGTGTTTTTGGCCGTGAGAGGTTGTTTCAGGTTAAGGGGGCGTTTCAGGTTAAGGGCAAGTGGGGCCTGAATAATAATTAATGGGTCGGGTCAATGAGCAGCCAGAATTCCATCAGAGCCGAGCGAACGTGGACGGGATTGGGAAGCAGAAGCGGAGGGGGTCTGGGCGGGGACAGGGCTCTTCCTTCACAGGACCCCCGGGAGAACATGGGGTCTGCGACCAGAGACAAAGATGTGGGGGGAGAGAGATGTGGGGACCGGGCCTGAGAGAAGATAAGGAGCGACGCCGCTGCAAGGGAGCCAGGTTCTCGGCGTCACGGTCTTGTCAGGATCGAAACCTCGGACGCCTCCACGGTGATTCCCCCGAAGGAAAAGGGGAGACTTGAAACATAGAGGGATTGCATAATTTGGGACCATAAAGCATGTGTGTACCTGTGGAGGCATCCAGCTCTCTGGCCATGCACCAAGATCCCGTTTCCCAGGAACTTTTAAAGTGACGTGATTCAGAAGACCTTCTGGGACGTCCTTCAGGTGAGTTCTTCCTCTGGGCATAGAGCAGAGGTGCACTGGAGGAGTGGGGGGGTGGGTTGTAGGCATCAATTTCCTGGGTTGTGCGGGGGTCAGACTAGATGACCTTTGGGAGTCCCTCCCAGCTCAATGTTTCTAAGTTTCTCTGAAACACACCTGCGTGTTTGTATGTGTGCGTGTGTGTGATATGCTGTCAAGTTGCTTACGACTCATGGCAAAGCTACGGATTACTGACTTCCGAAATGTCCTCTCCTTGTCAACCTTGTTCTAAGTGTTGCAAACTGAGGGCTCCCTCTTTTCTTCCTGCACACCTGCACTCCTAGGTGAGTGAAAACACCACCCTCCCTCTTTAAATCAGAGCCTCACCTTGTTGAATTTTTGTCCGGAAGCTTCCAAAATAGTCTTGATGTCCTTTCAGTGCTGAATTTGGAACACTTTAGGCTTCTCCTCTAAACACACACAGATCACACCTCGAACAGAATTCCCAAAGATGTGTCATTCTGAAACACACCATTCCTATTCGTTCAGCTGCTGTGCTCTGCTCAGTGAGGTCTAATGCCATAAAGTCCACCCTCCAAAGCAGCTCTTTCCCCCAGGGGAACTGATCTCTGTGATCTGGAGATCAGTTATCAATCAGGGAGATTCCCCAGGCCCCATCTGGAGATTGGCAACCATAAATGCAGATTTATGGTTCCATTGTTGCACTGGCAATGTGTTCAGAAGTTCACCAACATAACCTTCCCCAGACAACCTTGTTTATGGTGGCAAAGCAGTTTATAACATTTCCAAAAAGCTCTCTAGCATTACACAGTCTCGCCTTATCTGAAGAAGTGGGCGTGCACAAGAAAGCGTATGCACAGAAATCTGAAGAAGTGGGCATGCACAAGAAAGCATATGCACAGGATCCCACAGAATGACCAAAAGTCAGGAAACAGTACTGGATAGTACCAGTAGTATTAGGTATGAGGAACAAAATCTACAGAATTATGATAAAAGGGTTGGAACACTTTCCCGATGAAGAAAGGTTAAAACGCTTGGGGCTCTTTAGCTTGGAGAAACGGTGGCTGAGGGGTGACATGATCGAGGTTTATAAGATTATGCATGAGATAGAGCAGGTGGAGAAAGAAGTACTTTTCTCCCTTTCTCACAATACAAGAACTCCTTGTGGGCACTCCATGAAATGGCTGAGCGGTCGGGTTAGAACAGATAAAAGGAAGTACTTCTTCACCCAAAGAGTGATTGACACACAGCATTCACTGCCACAGGTGGTGGCGGTGGCTACAAGCATGGACGGCTTCAAGAGGGAACTGGATAAACATCTGGAGCAGAGGTCCATCAGTGGCTATTCGCCACAAGGTATAGATAAGGACTCACAGGCTGGAGCAGGTGATGCTCTGTATTCTTGGTGTTTGGGGGGGGGGCAACCGTGGGAGGGCTTCTGGTGTCCTGGCCACTGTGGCTAATAGCCACTGATGGACCTCTCCTCCATATAAGAACATAAGAGAAGCCACTGTTGGATCAGGTCAATGGCCCATCCAGTCCAACACTCTGTGTCACACAGTGGCCAAAAATATCAGGTGCCATCAGGAGGTCCAGCAGTGGGGTCCGAACACTAGAAGTCCTCCCACTGTTGATCTCCCCAAGTACCAAGAAGACAGAGCATCCCTTGCCCCAGAGTCCCTTTCTATACCTTGTGGCTAATAGCCACTGATGGACCTCTGTTCCATATGCTTATTCCCTCTTGAAGCCGTCCATGCTTGTAGCCGCCACCACTTCCTGTGGCAGTGAATTCCAAGTGTTAATCACTCTTTGGGTGAAGAAGTACTTCCTTTTATCCGTTCTAACCCGACCGCTCAGCAATTTCATGTGAGAAAGGGAGAAAAGGACCTCATTCTCGACCTGCTCTATCCCACGCATAATCTTATAAACCCCGATCACGTCACCCCTCAGCCGTCGTTTCTCCAGGCTAAAGAGCCCCAAGCGCTTCAACCTGTCTTCGTAGGGATATGTACAAAGACATAAAAACAGCAATTGTAAGATTGGTCAGGAAGGAGGGGTCATTCAGGGAATGCCAAACGAAACCAAAAAGTCTTCACCCGCTGGCAGAAGACGGTAGCAAAAGGGAACAGCAGGGGTCATTTAGTAGAAAAAGAGGTGCAGCTCATTAGCATAACTCATTTGCATATGCCACGCCCCCTGGCATCACCGGAAGTGTGTCAGAAGGCAACACCCACCGCTCAGGCTCCACTGGACTGTTTTGGATTGCTAGCTATTGGGGGGGGGGGAACGCGCAGATCTGTCCTCACAGAGGAGGGAGAGCTTGTACCTGAATAAAACTTGGTCTTAAAGGTGCCGCTGGACTGTTTTGGACCGGGGGGCTGGGGGGGGGTCTGCAAGTTACCTGCTTCTTGCTCTGACTGAGGGCTGCTGGGAGCAGGGGGTGGGGCTTGTTGCATGTTCCCGCCCCCTGGGCTTTTTACTGCTGGAGTCCGCTCCTGTGCGCTCCTGCAGGAAATGACCCCTGGGGGACAGACACACCTTCTTGGGGGGGGGGAGCTCCAGAGCTTCGGTGCCCTGACTGAGAGCACCCTCTCCTGGGATGCTACCTGCCTGGTCTCAGAATGCAGAGACACCAGAAGATTACCGTCGGGGTTGTGTAACGAGAAGTTCTGCTCCTGCGTCCAGTCAAAGAATTTGGAGTAATTTGGAGTAAAGTATCGCAAAAGGCCTTGCCTCTGCAAACTGTTCAGCGGCACAGTTCTCCAGGATTCATCTATTAAAGGCTGTTTATCAGCCTGTAAATCTGATCACACAAGTGCAAGCAGAGAAGTGGGGAATCAAACCCGGTTCTCCCAGATTAGAGTCCGTGCACTTAAACCACTACACCAAACTGGCCAGTTCCACTGCGGGCCTGATAGAAGCCTTGGCTTAGAGAGCATTGCCCGGGACTGAACTTGGCACCTTCGGCAAGCCAAGCAGAGGCTTTTACACTGGGCCACCAGACCAAACCAGACACCGCGAGCTGGCCAGCCCAAGTGCCTGAAGAGGGCACACTCATCTCTGTCTGAACTCCCACACTGGCTGGGGGAGGGAGGGCCGGGCCAACTGCAGTGGCAGGGATTCAGCTCCCAGAGAGCGACCAGACAGGTTACACCCAAAAGGACCCGGAAGTCTCAACAGGGCGCCACCTCTGTGGTTTCTGTGTCTTTGTGCCCGTGTCGGTCACCTGGGCGGAGGTGCGGCCATGTCCCCGTTTGAGCCGCAGGTCTTACTCATGCAGCTGGGGAAGAAACAGGCATCAACCTGCCCTGAGCTGTTGAGCTGGAAAACCCAAGCCAAGGGCTGCTCCCCAGGCAAATCTTAGCCGTGTGGCACACCAGAGCCGTGAACGCTGGAGGTTCATCAGATCGACTGTGCAAGGGTGCCAGGACGCAGGGCAAAGGTGAGGAGAGGGTCTGAGCCGGCATCCGGCCAGAAGAGGGAGAAGAGACCTGCTGTGCATGTCCAGAGCTGCCTTCTCTCTGCTCAATGTAGGCTCATGCCATGGACAGTGAGCAGAAAGAGGGGTGGTGGGGTGCGCCATGTTGAGACCAGTTGCCTGCGGCCGGGGCAGCCGTTTGTGTTGAACTGGGTTTGAGGGGGGCGCAGGGGAGAGGCCGTGGCTCAGTGGCAGAGCCTCTGCTTGGCATGCAGAAGGTCCCAGGTTCAATCCCCAGCACCTCCAGTTAAAAGGGCCAGGCAGGAGGTGATGGGGAAGACCTCCGCCTGAGACCCTGGAGATCTGTAAAGATGACTGTGGCTCAGTGGCACTGTGGCTCAGTGGCACTGCTTGGCATGTAGAAGGTCCCAGGTTCAATCCCCGGCATCTCCAGTTAAAAAGGACCAGGCAGGAGGTGATGGGAAAGACCTCTGCCTGAGACCCTGGAGAGCTGTCAAGAGGGGCCGTGGCTCAGTGGCAGAGCCTCTGCTTGGCATGCAGAAGGTCCCAGGTTCAATCCCTGGCATCCCCAGTTAGAAAAGGACCAGGCAGGAGGTGATGGGAAAGACCTCTGCCTGAGACCCTGGAGAGCTGTCAAGAGGGGCCGTGGCTCAGTGGCAGAGCCTCTGCTTGGCATGCAGAAGGTCCCAGGTTCAATCCCTGGCATCCCCAGTTAGAAAAGGACCAGGCAGGAGGTGATGGGAAAGACCTCTGCCTGAGACCCTGGAGAGCTGTCAAGAGGGGCCGTGGCTCAGTGGCAGAGCCTCTGCTTGGCATGCAGAAGGTCCCAGGTTCAATCCCTGGCATCCCCAGTTAGAAAAGGACCAGGCAGGAGGTGATGGGAAAGACCTCTGCCTGAGACCCTGGAGAGCTGTCAAGAGGGGCCGTGGCTCAGTGGCAGAGCCTCTGCTTGGCATGCAGAAGGGCCCAGGTTCAATCCCCGGCATCTCCAGTTAGAAAAGGACCAGGAAAGAGGTGATGGGAAAGACCGCAGCTGGAGACCTGGACGTAGGGTTGCCAACCCCCAGGTCATAAACAATGAAGAAAACAGCCGTGACATATAATGAAAAAATATATATTTTAGACTACTGTGTTGCAGTGAGTAGTATTTCATCAACAAATAGTCAAGATGTACGCATCCACACTAACGGGATTTGCATATACTCCCGTTTCACATGACCGCTTTATCTAAGTGTGCTGCAGGAAAAACATTCATTTACACGTCAACAATTGTAATCCGTGAACCTGACACAAAACATTCCCCCCTCTTCAATGAAACAAAACCTTTACGTGCTCACGTAAAGTGTGGATGCGTTCATTGCGGCTGTTTTCTTCATTGTTTGCTACCGACCTGTGGTCTCTCTGTTGTTCCTACAAAACCACAGGTCATGGCTGGGGATCTCCTGGAAACACAATTCGTCTCCAAATAACAGAGATCATTTCCCCCTGGAGGAAATGGCTGCTTTGGAAAGTGGATTCCATGGCCTCCTCACATTTCCAGGTATTCTCAGACCCTGCCTAAGGAACAGCTGCCAGTCTAAGTAGGCAGCAGTGACTTTGACAGACCAGGGGGGTGATTCAGGAGAAGGCCGCTTTCTGTGTGAACAGGTGGGCCTTTTCCAGTGGCTTTTCTGAATGGAGGCTGGCTTGCCCCAACCGCAGTTCTGTCCCCCTGGTTCTGGTTTGGTTCTGAAATGTCATCGCTTTAAAATGTCACCAAAGCTGCAGGGCTGGTTTGCTGCTTTTAGAAAAGGGGTGTGCGTCTGTTTGTGTCTCTGTGTGTGTGTGTGAGTGACTTCAGAAAAAGGTTTTAGAAAAGGGGTGAAAAGTACTGGGTTCGCTGCATGGAGGACTCGGACGACGACATGCGTTTCCACACGTTTATTGTACTTAACATCAGACTGAGCTAGGCCCTGCAAGGCCAACTATACACACACACACCCAGCACACCCCTAGTCCATTGGAGGGTTTGAATTTCCCGCCAAAGTGGCTATTGGTTGGGGCTGGGGGAACTAGGATCCTAGGTTCCTATTGTTCAAGGGAACCAAGCTCCTGCCTGTGCCGCGGACCCCTAGTGGTGGTCCGCGTACATAACAGGGGTGTGTGTCTGTTTGTGTCTCTGTGTGTGTGTGTGTGTGAGGGAGAGCCAGTTTGGTTAAGTGCGCGGTCTCTAATCTGGGAGAACCGGGTTTGATTCCCCACTCTTCCACTTGCACCTGGCTGGATGACCTTGGGCAAGCCGTAGTTCTGATAAGAGCTGTCCTTGAAAAAGACCAGGTTCTGTCAGAGCTCTCTCAGCCCCAAGTAACTGTTGTGGGGAGGGGAAGGGAAAGGAGTTTGTAAGCCGCTCTGAGACACCTTTGGGTAGTGAAGGGCGGGGTATAAATCCAGTCTCCTCCTCTTCTTCTTCATGGTCCCCCGAAGCAGGATGAAATTGGATTCTGAAAGACGCACTGCACTTTGAAGGATGGCTGTTGCTGATCCCAGACTAACTTCCACACGGTGGTCCACAGATCTCACCCTTTTCCAGCTTCAAAGTGCTGGTTTTAACCTTTAAAGCCCTTTATGGCCAGGGTCCAACCTACCTGAGGGACCGCCTTTCTCCATATGTTCCCCCAAGGACACTACGGTCGGGGGGGGGGGGCGTCATCTCCTGGAAATTCCAGGTCCTAGAGATGTTAAATTTGCAGTGACCAGGACCAGGGCATTTTCGGTGGCGGCTCCTACCTGGTGGAAGGAGCTCCCGGAAGAGATCCGGGCCCTGCGTCTCAAGGAGAGGACTGTTGTCCCAGTTACTCTGGGGCGTGCCGTTTCCCCCCCCCCCCAACATACAAGGTTTATTTTACACTGAGGAAACACACGTCTGATTTCCCCACCACCACCACCACCTGCTGTCACAATTTGAACCAGCCCAGGAAGTCTGTGTGACGTGATTTTTATGCACATCTAGATCAGCCCTTAAGAGGAATCTTTTGGAGTCGCCATTGGTGCTGGGCTAGTTCTTAGGACGTGTGCTAGATCTTCCGTGGGTTATCCTAGCAGCTTAAAAACTTTGAAAAGAAGTAAACAGATTTTAGGTGATGCGCAATGTTCCCTCTAAGCAGTGGAGTCCTGTGAGCAAAAATTCTACTTTGTGAGCTCTGGGCATTAAAGTTGTGAGTGAGCGCTTTGGCTACTGCATGAATTAGTTTGCTCTGGCGCCATCCCTCCTGAGCGGAGACAAAAATCTGTGAGTCAGAGGCTAAAAAACTGTGAGCTAGCTCACACTACTTCAGCTTACAGGGAACACTGGTCATGCTCTCTTTGGGACGGGGAGTGAGGAAATAGTGGCCTTGTGTTGGTATCATAGTGGGGCTTGTGTGGTTGCGCCGAACCGCTTCTTTGGCACGCTGCAGCTTTGCCGTGTGATCGCCAGCTGACAGCCGAAGCACGGAAACTCGGGGGACCGTGTGATCGGGCTACCGCGCTTTATTTTGTTCCAGGGCGAACAGCCACACCTCCCCCCGCGTTATCTGGCCCATGTGACCGGGGCCAAAGTATCCATATTGCTGATATGGTTACAGGGTGCTATTGTTTTCCATTCAGCTAGGCTAATCGACACCAGAAACATGCACAGTTGCAGCTGGCAGCCAAGGCCACAAGCCTTAGTAAAATAGCAGCATGTTAGCATTTTTTATTCTCCCAGCATGCTTTTAAGCAATAGCCATAAATGAACCAAAGTTATTATCTGAATATCTGTTCATGGTTGATTTCTGTTTATGTGGTTGGAATCATAAATGGCACTTGATATATAGTGCTAAGTGCAGGGGTCATTTCCTACAGGAGCGCATAGGAGCGTAGCTCCAACAGTAAAGAGCCCAGGGGGCGGGCACATGCAACAAGCCCCACCCCCTGCTCCCAGCAGCCCTCAGTCAGAGCAAGAAGCAGCCAGGTAAGCTGCAGAGCCCCTTCCCGGCCCCCCGGTCCAACAGTGGCACCTTTAAGACAAAGTTTTATTCAGGTACAAGCTCTCCCTCCTCTGCGAGGACAGATCTGCACGTCCCCCCCCCCAAGAGCAAGGAATCCAAAGCAGTCCAGTGGCACCTTTAAGACCAAGTTTTATTCAGGTACAAGCTCTCCCTCCTCTGCGAGGACAGATCTGCACGTCCCCCCCCCCAATAGCTAGCACTCCAAAACAGTCCAGTGGAGCCTGAGTGGTGGGTGTTGCCTTCTGACACACTTCCGGTGATGTCAGGGGGGGGTGGCATATGCAAATACGTTATGCTAATGAGTTATGCTAATGAGCTCCTGCACCTCTTTTTCTATGAAAGGACCCCTGGCTAAGTGTACCTACTAAAGAAACCTGTTAAGTCAGTGGCAGAGTGCAAAGTGTATTAACAGTGTTTCATAGACTGCGTAGAGCACCTTTGTTGGCGAGCCACCAAAAGTAGGTTGGGAAAAGCTGTGCTAGGGTTTAGGATGGTCAAATCCAGGTTGGACAATCCCTAGCCATGTGCAGTTTGGGGAGGGAGTGGACCACAGCAGGGTATAATGCCCTAGAATCCACCCTCCCAAGCAGCCCTCTTGAGTGACCGATGTCGTCTTGTCTCTATGCGAGCAGGTCGGGCCTGTGACGTTTCTTCAGTCTCTTCTCCTGGCGATGTTCTCCTCAGAAGGCCTCGGTGACCCAGGTAACCCCACAAGGGCTTCAGCAGGGTTGGGCCGTTTGTGTTGGGGTATTTCTGAGCACGTGCAGAGTGCATCCCATCGCTTGAGGAGGGCAAGGCCTCTGCCCCTTAACCGGCTGTGTGGCTGTCCTAAACTGCTTTACTACGGGAACGGCAGGCATGATCTGAGAGACCTCCGGTTTCAGTCACGAAAGCTGAGACTGGGGCAATGGGCCACGAAACATGTTTAATTTCAGATTCTCGTTGGGGCAGGGGTGTCAAACAGGAGGCCCGGGGGCCGGAACTGGCCCATCCCGGGCTCTTATGTGGCCTGTGGGCAACTAGTGCAAGGGAGGGAACAGGAGGCTGTTCGGGGGGACTGCTCGATCGTGGCTTCAGCCTGGTGGAACAACCTCGCCCGCTGCAGTTAAGAAGAAGAAGAAGAGATTGGATTCATACCCCCGCCCTTCACTACCCAAAGGTGTCTCAGAGCGGCTTACAATCTCCTTTCCCTTCCCCTCCCCACAACAGACACCCTGTTGTGTCGAAATGGAGTTCTTACTATCCGGATTCTTCGTTGATATTATTCTTCATGCATCTTCACCTCAAGAGGAAATTTTTCTACTTTAACATTCTGCTTCTATGGTTGTATTTATATTAATACTTTGGTCATTATTTATTTTTATTTTTAATCCCCTGAAAACAGGGTAGCTTTATTAATTTTTGTTACACCTATGTGACTACAGAAAGGAAAAAAGAGGGAAGGGGGGGGGAGAGAAAGGGGGGGAAGGGAAAAAAATAAGAAACTAAAATAACAAACCCCAGAATACAGACAGTACAAAAGAAAAGGAACCCACACTATAACTAAAAACCCAAGAAAGGAAGGTCATTAACAGTTAGTATACAGTTAGTCATAAAAAAATTAAAGCTTTCGTTTAAGTCAATGAATTAAGATTAGTGAGTCCATTTTAGTAAATGTCTAATTTCTTCTCAGTATGCACAAAGACTTCATCCAGTTCGTTCATAAATCTTTTAGATCATAAGAGCTACTTGGCAACTCTTAGCCGTAAATCATATGCCTCTCTGGCCGTGTCTCCTTCTGCTCCTACTAGGTCTCCGTCCGTCTCTTCCAGGCTGGCTGCCTGGCCTCCACCGTCTTGCTGCTCTTCCTCTTTTGATTCGAAAAACCGCTTCAACCATTCTTCTGCTTTGGACACCGAGTCGATTTTTTCTCTTTTGTCTTTGTGTTTAAACTGCACCCCCTCTGGAAAAAGCCAGGCATATTGAATCTGGTTGATCTGAAGTGTTGAGATAAGGTCTTTATACGTTTTTCTTTTCTGTCGGACCTCAAATGGAATGTCCTTTAGGACCCTGATATTTGCTGATCCCAGTTGTAGGGGTTTGGTTGCTGTCGCAATACTTTGGTCATTATTGAACTAGTGTTAGCATCTTTTTCACACAGATTGCTATTCCCTTGTACACCCATGCTGCCAGTTTGGTGTAGTGGTTAAGTGCACGGACTCTAAATGGGAGAATCGGGTTTGATTCCACACTTCTCCACTGGCACCTGGCTGGATGACCTTGGGCAAGCCGTAGTTCTGATAAGAGCTGTTCTTGAAAAAGAGCCATTTCTGTCAAGAGCTCTCTCAGCCCCACCTACCTCACTGGGTGTCTGTTGTGGGGAGGGGAAGGTTGAGGAGTTTGTAAGCCGCTCTGAGACACCTTTGGATAGTGAATGGCGGGATATAAATCCAATCTCTTCTTCTTCTTCTTCTTCTTCTTCTTCTTCTTCTTCTTCTTCTTCTTCTTCTTCTTCTTCTTCTTCTCCTCCTCCTCCTCCTCCTCCTCCTCCTCCTCTTCAGTCATTTATTGGCTGTTACATAAGTCTGAGCCATTAAAGAGGCCAACCGTTCCAGAACTTTTCATTACATGTATTCTTATTTCAGGCACCACTCAAGTGTAATACATAGAATCAATCTAGGATCAATCTAATGCAGGTATAGCCTCCTATCAATGTTAAAACAACCCATAGAACGAAGGTTGCCAACTCTATTCCTGATCGCTGTGGCCTGGAGACCAACTGTAATTTTGGGAAACCTCCAGGCCCGCCCTGAGCGTGTCAACCCCCCTCGACAGAATGGCCATAGAGAAAACCAGAGGCAGACCATAATAACCGCTTTAAAAAGATGACGCCCTGCAGCTCAACTTTGCCTTGCCTTGCAGAGACGGGTTTTTCTCACTCCACGGTCCCAGATCCCGGCAGCGGAGTCAGCGTCCCAGAAATAATCCGGAAGAAACGGGATGGCGAGAAACTCAAGGAGGAGGAAATCCGCGCTTTTGTCCGGGGGGTGACTAAAGGCACCCTGAAGGACGGGCAGATTGGTGAGGAGCAGGGGAGTGGGGCAGGAGGAGGAGAAACGGAGACGGTTCAGGTGCAACCAAAACAAACTTTTGCTCAGTGTCTCCTGGGGATGTGGGGATGATTAGGCCCAGGGGTCATTTCGTAGAAAAAGAGGCGCAGGGGCTCATTAGCATAACTCATTTGCATATGCCACACCCCCTGACCTCACCGGAAGTGTGTCAGAAGGCAACACCCACTGCTCAGGCTCCACTGGACTGTTTTGGACTGCTAGCTATTGGGGGGGAGGAACGTGCAGATCTGCCCCCACAGAGGAGGGAGAGCTTGTACCCAAAGGCGGGCTGGGGGAGGGGGCTCTGCAACTTACCTGGCTGCTTCTTGTTCCTTGTGGCCCGACTGAGGGCTGCTGGGAGAAGGGGGCGGGGCTTGTTGCATGTGCCCGCCCCCTGGGCTCCTTACTGCCAGAGCTCCGTTCCTGTGCGCTCCCGCAGGAAATGACCCCTGATTAGGCCCAATTCTTTTATACTTTTAGGCCCAGTTCTTGTATACTTTCACGCAGTCTCTCCCTTCATCAGAGCTGTCAGAAGCTCCAGGACTTCTGTTTCCCGTGGAGGTCAGTTCCCCTGGAGTCAATGGCTGCTTTGGAGGATCGATTCTACATGGCTTCACTCACATCCCTGCTGAGCTTTCTCGCGTCCCCAAACACCGCTTTCCACCCCCAAATCTCTAGGGATTTCCTCATCTCCAGGGCTTGTGGCCCTGTACATGCCCTTCAAAGCATTTGCCAGGCCTTGGCCCGTCCTGCGTCTAGCAATTCACTCCGTTGTTTTACCAAACCACTCTGGAACAGAAAAAGTTGTGGCTCAAAACCACATTCAAATACCCCGGGGCCTACGCCGGACTGACTTCAGAGTCACGCACGAATGGCCATAAATCTATGCAGACAACGTCATAAAATGGAGAGATCAAAGGAAGTGAAAGCGGCATGCAGCATGGAGGCTACCATAAAACCCGACAATCAAAGGAAGTGAAAGCGGCATGCAGCGTGGAGGCTACCATAAAACCCGACAATCAAAGGAAGTGAAAGCGGCACGCAGCATGGAGGCTACCATAAAACCCGACAATCAAAGGAAGTGAAAGCGGCACGCAGCATGGAGGCTACCATAAAACCCGACAATCAAAGGAAGTGAAAGCGGCACGCAGCATGGAGGCTACCATAAAACCCGACAATCAAAGGAAGTGAAAGCGGCACGCAGCATGGAGGCTACCATAAAACCCGACAATCAAAGGAAGTGAAAGCGGCACGCAGCATGGAGGCTACCATAAAACCCGACAATCAAAGGAAGTGAAAGCGGCACGCAGTGTGGAGGCTACCATAAAACCCGACAATCAAAGGAAGTGAAAGCGGCATGCCATGCAGAGGGAATGTCTGTTCCAACGTGGGTTTGGTAAAACAGCAGAGGGAATGCTGGATGCAGAATGGGCCCTTCTCTCGCTGTTGTCGACCCTTCTCTCACTGCTGGTGTGTCCAGCTAGGGTTACAAACTTCAGCTTGGGAAACCTCTGGAGATTTGGGGCAGTGCCCGAAGCGGATGAAGATGGAAGCTCAGTGGGGCGGTGGGGTGCCATAGAGACCAGCTTCCAGAGCTTCCATGTCCTGCAGGGTAATCGATCTCTGCAGTCTGGAGGTCAGGCGTAACCCCGGGAGAATTCCAGGTTTGATCCCAGTTTTATCATAGAGTTTTGCCCTCAAACCAGAAGCTCACGGCATGACGTCCCCAGTGTGATGACATCACTTCTGTGGGACGTCATTGCATCGGGGACGTCACCCTGTGACATCACTGTTTGGGGCAGAGCCCCACCCCACTCCCCAAAGGCTCCCTCCCACCCCCTGCCAGCGCGTCATGGAGACAACGCTCCCTCTAAGCTGCGGAGTCTGGTGAGCAAAAATTCTACTTTGTGAGCTACTGGCATGAAAGCTGTGAGCGAGGGATTAGGCTACGGCACAAATTAGTTGGCTCTGGGGCCATTCCTTCCTGAGCTGAGACAAAAAATGTGTGAGCTGGAAGCTAAAAAAACTGTGAGACGGCTCACACTGACTCAGCTTAGAGGGAACACTGTGACTAGGGTTGCCAGATGTGGGTTGGGAAATACCTGGAGACTTTGGGGGTGGATGTGGGAGAGGGCGGGCTTGGGGAGGGGGCTCAGCGTGGTCCAATGCCACAGAGTCCAGCCTTCAAAGCGGCCATTTTCTCCGGGGTAGCTGATCTATGTCAGCTGGAGATCAGTTGTAAAAGCAGGAGATCCCCAGACCCCACCTGGAGGCTAAGCAAACAAAGTATGGTACACAGTATATGGATATTACACTACACGGGGATTGTTACTGTGATAAGTGCGCTAAACTAAATAATACAGTACTGCAAAAATCAGAAAATATATGCTGTTTAAATAAGTTAAAGTGATATGCTTTTTTTACAAGGTTAGAATACTTGAGCTGCGGTGGCTCAAGTGGTTAAGACGCTGAACTGCAGGCTGTGGAAGGGCAGTAGTTCAGCAGTTCGAGACCCGTGTGCTGCATGACGAAGTGAGCTTTAGTTCCAGCTCCTGCCAACCTAGCAGTTTGAAAGCAAGAAATTGCAAATAGATAAAAATAGGTACCACTTTGGTGGGAAGGTCACAGCGTTCCGTGCGCCTTGGTGTTTAGTCATGACCACGGAAACGTCTTCGGACAGCGCTGGCTCTTTGGCTTTTAAACGGAGATGAGCACCACAACCCTAGAGTCGGATTCGACTGGCTTTCGGCAAGGGAACCTTTACCTTTAATACAAAAATACAGTCCGTTTCAAATAAACAGAAGTGATTTTTAACGAAGCAAATGATGTTAATGACGTGCTCCGGAATGTCCTGTGCCGTTTCGACGTTCCTTCTTCCGATTCTGTAGATAATTTCCAGTTTTTTGTCTCATCTATAAGAGCAGAAATGAAGGCTGATGCTCACATATGTTTTCTTCATAGGTCAATAACAAAGCACAAATGCCAGTAGAAAATTCATTTCGGGCGAGTTACAGTCAAACGGAAGGCGTTATAGATTTGCTTCATTAAAAACCAACATCATTTGACTGTATTTTTGCATCCCAACCTTGTAAAAAAAAAGTATCACTTTAAGTTATTTAAACAGCGTATATTTTCTGATTTTCGCAGTACAGTATTATTTAGTTTAGCACACTTATCACAGTAACAATCCCTGGGTAGTGTCATACCCACGCGGAGGCTGGCAACCAGTGACGGCCCCAGGTTTTTTTGCCCACTAGGCGAGGATACATTCTGGCGCCCCCCCTATGGGGCGGGATGGGGGCGTGTGCCAGAGCCACAGCGGGTGGGCCGAAGGGGCGAGCTGCAAATGCATGCAGGGGGGGCGGGATCCCAGGAGAGGGGGCCTGTGACAGGCTGCAAAAGGAGCTCCAAAGAGACCACAGGGGTGGGGCGGCAGAGGGTGAGCGGCACTTTCCCATCATCCCGGGCTGTTCCCCGCACCTGTCCCCCCCACCTCCTTTTCTTTCTGTCTGGGGGGCTTCAAAGAGGGGAGTCTCTTGCTGGGGACGGAGCAAGAAGCCGGCAAGGGAGGCTTCCTGTGCGGGGGAAGGAGGGAATGAGGCCGGCCAGAATGGCGCCCTTGTCGAGCCGTCGCTCTAGGCGGTGGTCTAGAATTTAACAATAACGGGCCGGCCCTGCTGGCAACCCTGTGACAACCCTAGGGCCCATAACCTTGAGGACCCATAGATCCGAGCACTGATTGCTTGCCCAAGACAGAGTGATTCAGAGGGACCCAGACTTGAGTCCTTGTCAGGGCTGCACATTCCCCTTTCCCTGAATCAAAATCTGGGGAGACGGGTGCACAGCCTCAAAGCGGATCCAAACCGGGGGGGGGTGGGGGATGCAAGGTCCATTCCTCTTGCATGAGTGGGAAGAGGGGGGGCTTTCACCTGCTTGCGCTAACCCTCCTCCTCCACTGTCTTCCAGGGGCGATGCTTATGGCCATCCGACTGCAGGGCATGGGCGCCGAAGAGACCCTGGCCCTGACCCGGGAGATGGCTGCGTCGGGGCGCGTCTTGGAGTGGCCCGAGAAATGGCGGGGGCTCCTGGTGGACAAGCACTCCACCGGCGGGGTGGGCGACAAAGTCAGCCTGCCCCTCGCCCCAGCCTTAGCGGCCTGCGGGTGTAAGGTGAGTGCCACGGCCCTCCATCGTGGGCAGAGTCCAAGCGGGCCGTGCCGACTTGCCCGAGATGTGCCGATTGAATCCCGATGGCGTAGCCGACCATGATTGCTCTCCTAGGAGTTTTGACATTCAGTGCCAGTGGCGCTGTCTATAAGATCTCCGCTCCTGTGCAAGTTAACGTGTATCTTGCTAAATCTGAGCCGCTCCGGTCTCAGAAGAACACAAGCCAAGTCCAGCCTTGACAGATCCCCCCGGAGCAGCCTGGGACGACGCAGTGTGAGCTGCAAACTTGGCCCCTTCCCTACTTACTCCCAGCTTCAACTCATTAATGAACAAGTTAAAAAGCACTGGACCGAGTACTGATCCTTGCGGTCCCCCACTGCTTACTACCTTCCACTGGGCAAGCCATAGTTCTGAATCAGGGGTCATTTCGTAGGAAAAGAGGTGCAGGAGCTCATTAGCATAACTCATTAGCATGCCTTATTTGCATAGGCCACACCCCCTGGCATTACCGGGAGTGTGTCAGAAGGCAACGCCCACCGCTCAGGCTCCGCTGGACTGTTTTGGAGTGCTAGCTATCGGGGGGGGGG